CCCCAAAACCCCAAAACCCCAAAACCCCAAAACCCCATAAGTTAAAATTTTGGAAAGATATAGAATGAATGTGAATTAAACAATTAAAAGCAATAGAGATATGATCAATGAATCAAGATATTAATATGAATGAATAATTTGCAATTATTTATAAATGCCTGCATTCATTTTACTATCTCATTCACTGTGACTCAAATGCACAACACAATAACAGATACCTAGATTCTGGCATGCATCTCCATTGCAGTTATTAACTTGCCCTTTGCAGCAGGGACAGCTCTTACTTGATTCAAAGTAATAGATATCTTCCATCTTCTCAAACTTCGCGTATATTGCTTCTTCTTGTGATACCTCCACATTTTTCTTTTTTGGCTTAAATTCTACTGCATTTAAATTCAGTTAGGATCCTGCTACTTGTTAATCACTAAGAGTTTGAACGAGATAAGTTGGGTGAGTGTACTAGCAAACTGCTGGTTCCAAACAGACTCCCATTCTCTCGTAGACTCTGCAAACTGGTACTCTTTCAAAATCATCGTAATTTTATGAAGCTTCTACCATTATCTTAAGTTATATTTTAATATTATAGAGTTAACATTATTAAAAATTAAGACTTCGGAAAATTAAAAATAAAATTGCCAGAGTATTAAAACGAATCTGTTGAAAATATTACTTCAAACGAGAAGGAGAAATATTTAGAATGATTTGAATTATGTTAGAATAAGTTTGTTAGAAATAGGTTAAAATTTGATTCGATGTAAACACCAGATATTAATATTATGATAATAGTAATAGTAATACTGCACTTTGGTTAGGAGTTAGCTAATCAACCAATTCTTACTCCTTATCCACTAAATGGAACAAATCCTCCCGAACGATTTCTGTTAGCTGATGTTGCATCTTGAGCTCTATTATTTTACTATTCTTAGTTATTAGCTGCATTACTAGGATTCTAGTTTTGGTAATTATTGTTTTGATTATTATTCTACTGCTATTAGTTCATTAAAGGCTGGCCATAAGCAACCTCCTCATCTTAATCTCTTCCAGCACCTGTATTATTGGGTCCTCTATTTCTATTCATTCCTCTCATCATTCCTCCATATATTGCTCCTCCCTGCATGCCCATTTGGTCATAAGCCATTCCTTTAAACTCTCTGTATGCGTAGAAACTAACTATTAGTGATACTAATGAGAATACTACCCACATTATCAAGACAGTCATTAAAAATGGATTGTAGTTATCGTTGTCGGGATTTTAATAATAGCTTAAAAATGATCCTCTTTAAACAGCTAATCCAACTGCACAAACATAGGTTACTAGGTCATTTATTATTAGAATTATGTAAAACATCAATGTGCAGAAATTCATGCTATATGCAGTGCAGAGTAATATAAAAGGGATGATAATATCCATGAAACCTATCTAAGGTGAAGCTACTGTGAGCATTATACCCAGGGCAAAGTGAAATAATACAAGAATGTAAAGTCTGCACTAATGGTCTTTGGCTGCAGGCGTGGCGTATTAAGATGGATTGTCCATCATTCCAGGAAGTAAACACATTTTGGAAATAAATATATATATTTATAAATCTAATTAATAATTTCTTACTAATTGAAAAAATTTTAGAATGCGGGGTTTTGGGGTTTTGGGGGGTGTCTATGGGATGATCAAAATGATAATCTAGCG